AAGAGTTGAGACAGGGGCTACCTGTTCTGAATCACCATGTGAGCTGACATTTGAAATATGTATGTTGTTCATAGTTCTGCTGCTAGACTAAAAACATATAAGTAGCAGACCAATGCTGTAAAGTAAAACCTGGTGTAAGAAATCGAAGGAAAAAAAATCGTAAGAAAATTTCAGCACCTGGACAGCTCCGCGCGCGTACCGTTCTGACTATTGGTCGTTACGACACTGTAAAGTTTCGGTTTGCTTTCACCTTTTTAATTTCTCACATTTATGAACAGTAACATTTAAATCTTTCCACTTGCTTAAGGTCAACTGTTTGGTTGAGACCTTTTACGCTTCTGCTGGCGAATGCAAAATAGTATCCTGGGTAACTACAGAGATGCAGCTGCGCCGGGAAAGAACAATTGAGAGCTCTGTTCGCCATCTTCTCGCCTTCTCCGGGCTATTTGCATAGTCCGTTCTGGTTGACTGGCTGCCATAGACCGTCCGGGAGACCTCTTTTGTCCGTTAATCAGCAAGTGACATTGGGGTGACAACTCTCAGGTGACGGATCTCCCTTTGAGGAACGTGATGAAGAAGAGACGTCGAGAGATTCCAGTGATTTAGTGATCGCTCTCGGTGTAAATGGACACTTATGTGACTACTGTATAGAACTGTTTATTTTAAAACGTTTAAAATCGATCGATCTGCACGCACATAATTGTGGACATAAGTGGCATTCTTAAGAATAGCAGCACAACACTGCTGTCAGCCACTGAACAGTGGGTTAGATGCAAAAGAATTAGTCTGCTATAAAACAATAGACGTGAGGCTATCACACCCTTTGCTTACGGTTTCAAAACACATTTTAAACTAAGAATGTCTGAGATAATAAAAATAGAAATAGTTTTAAATCTAGTTATATAAAACACACGTAACAAGTTATAAAAAGTAATCTTTCTCAAAATTGGCAAACATATTTTTTAAGGTAAAAAATATTTTTGAGTAATAAAAGTTTTTTTGGGTTACTTATTTGATCTGATCAAAACTGAGCCTACTTTTTCATAAAGAATACAAATATGTGACCTTCACACACACAGTCAAGGCATACAAAGAACTCTTTATGATAATTATTTATTTGTTTGCTTGTTGTCACATAATATCAAAAGGGCTTCCTACATGTTGGTTATGCCACACGGACAAAGGTTTTTCAAATATAATATTTTTTTTAAAACAAAAATTATTTTTATTTTAAGAATTTCAGCCTTTTAATGATGCTTTATTATCAACTGTCTAGGGGAAATTACTCATAAAAACGAATTACTTTTAAATTCATTTGAATTCAGACGTGTATTCACATCATTTTCAAACATTTCTAAATGCTCAAAGGACTGTCAAATCTACAATGCCCTTTCTCCAGTATTGCAAGTCTCCCAATAAGAGAGAAAAAAGTTTATTTCAGAAATGTTAAATATTTGAAAGTTTACACTTTACACTGTTTTTGGGTGTTTTGAGCAACTTTCCGCTACATCCCCGCTTGTTCCAACCAGGAACTTACCCTCTCGTGCACCTGCATCGCCTCTCATTGCCTTCAGGAATTCGCTGATGCTTGTAATCAGCTTTGTAAGGCCAATGAGTGCACGGATGAGCGACACTTCCCAACGGCACAGTGAGTCGCGCAGGCCCGCTGAATGACAGTCAGCGTGGGGCGCCGTTCCAAAGCCGCCACGCTGCCAAATTCCAACAGAGTCTCTCACAATCACTTCGCCGCAGGCCCCCGCACAGGCGGACGCTGGTAACAGGGGAAAATAAGAGTGTGTGTATGCGGGAAAAGAGACCGAGAGAAAGAGATAACTCGCTAACTACCAATGGCCGGCTTTCCCAAATGCGCTGAGCAGAACTTTAGTCGCACGTAGTATCTCCACGGCACGTTTCCTACGAGCATCGTTGCCTAAGTAGAACGTAAAAACGTTCGTAAATGAACCAGAGCCTCGGACCACTCGTAAACCCATTACGTGCTTAAAGGGATCCTTCTCCTTGCGTTCAATTTGTCAGAAACAAAAGACACACTTAATAAATTATGCATTTTAAGTCATTACAATCTGCAATGCCAATTTGCACTATACGAGTATTTAAAAAAAAAGTTGGTTGGTTTTTACAGACCTTTATTTATATGACCAACGAAGGCATAACGTTATGTAGACCGTCTTATTAGGCTAAATTGAGATATAGTCCTGTCATATATTAGATAACAAAGGGCATTTGTGTGAGAGTTAAATGTCATCTCCATCTTTCTCCCCAGTGTCAGGCTGAGATCTCCAGTAGCCTAGTCTTCATGACAATCACATATTGTATATTTTTTGAGGGCGCTTCCAAGTACCTCAAACCGGATGATTTATGAATGCACGAAGATTTGTGAAAGACAAACGCTTGGACATATTTACAGTGTAAAACGATTCTCTTAAAACGCGTAATTTGCAACGCTTTCGTGATTCACATCACACTGGTTTGGCAAACACGATATTGTGATCAAGTAGACGAAAAATAATACATATTCGTGTTTCTGGTTATTTAAACATGAGAGAAGAATGTTGAAAAGAAAACTGTCCCCTAAAATATAATAATTTGTGAAACATGTTAGCACAGTTTTCAGGTTTTATTCAGTAAACATTTAACCACGTCTGAAACGACTGTAGCGCGTAACGTCTCGTGCCTCTTGGAGGGTTTGTGGATTAGGAAAAAAGACCACGAGATTGTTAAACATGTCAACGTGTAATTGCACGATAAGGCCCGCGCTAGGAGTTTATTGGCCCAGTTGCTGTTTCTATTCCCAGCTAATCTGGCGCCGCACATTCGTCCTCTGCAATCTGTCTCTGTAATCTTCCGTAGCAGAACGGCAACCAGCTTTTTTTCTGAGGAGGCAAGAAAATATGCAGGGGTATGATAAACCCGATGCTAATTAGGAACATTTAGGACAGTGAGTGCAAAGGATCGCCGGTTTTACAAATGACAAAATACAAGCCCATTTTGACAATTTCACTTCAGAGCATCGTGGTGTATATATGTGTATATATGTGATAAAGGTCTGTCTGGCTATTATAGATGTATTGGCGAGATTTGCGGCAGTATTCTTTTTCTTCTGCCAGGAAATGGTGGAGGTGAATAGGGTGAGCTTTGCCAGTCTGCTGGACGGGTGCCCATGCAGGGCTCATTCTTTTTGTTTTTGAATGCAAATCCGCGTTGCTATGAACAGCAATGTTGTGTATTGCCCTATCACTGTGATGTGAGGACAGGGCTTCATATTTTAAAATAGCATTTTATTCAAAAATGAAAAAATCTTTATATGGGGGGAAATGTGTATTAAAAAAATGATGCATTAGGCTCAAAACAAGGAAATGTTTTTCACATATGCTAGATGTGGTTCTTTAAAATAACCGAGTTATTTCGTTATTTGTTTGTAAACTAAACTGTTTTATAAACTTTAGTTAAAAACATATAAGTGAAGCTTCGTCGACATTCTCACGGTCGTCATGGGGGGGGGGGGGGGGGGGTTTAAAGACCTCCCTGAATCCTGCTACTTGTTGCGGTCATGTCACTCTTCCGGTGGGTGTCATTGTAATACGAATGAAACTTGTCGCTGACCCGGGGGTTCAGCTCTTAGGGTTGTTTAATCCTCCTTTCTCCCTGGCACAAAACACTCTCTGCCACGCACTCTGCATTCATCTTAATCCCACTGACACCCCACGGAGGATACGAGCATCATTTGCTTGACGGCCCACCAGTGATTCAATTATAAGAAAATGATGTTGTCAATAGTAAAAGAAAATAAGCCAGAAGGCGAAAAAATTGAATTCTTCTTAAAATGCATATCAAAAGTGGAAATACACTAACATTTTAAATTCCATTCATGGGTTTAGAACGCAATTATTCCATATCCGGTAAATATAGTCCTGAGTGGCCCGCGGGTTACCCAGGCGGATTTAATTGAAGTGGAGCGGATTTAAAGCATATGTCTGCACAATCCGGGGCTCACGGGGAAAAACAGGGGTTGGTCCATTGAACAGTGAATAATGTGGTTCGCTCTCTACTTGCTGTTCTTCGTTTTTCATTGGACATTATTTATTTTGAGAGGTCTTGAACTTTGACCTCCATCATATGCATCAAGACACTGCAAAAGCGTCACGGAAGGCTTCCTAAATGAATCAAATACAGAAGGATTCAATACTGCAAAATAGCTTTGTAAACTTTACCGCGATTAAAGCAGCTGATCAGGATGAATAAAAATAGTGGCATCAAATAAACACTAATTATCCAGCGATCTGAAGTAGTTTCATTTAGACAGACACAACCACGAGCTTCAAGCCTATGTGGAGAGCTCATAAGTGTCAAAAACTAATTTAAAGAGATGAACACTCAATCAAGTGACATATTTTAGACATTAGGCTTTCACTTCTTTTTATCTGATCTTCTAATCTAAAATATTTGCCAGAGTAAATGTAATAGCAATGTAATAATAGGAACTGCTTTAGAAATAAAAACCTGATTTATAATAATATAGTGTCCCATAAAATTGTAACTAGTTTTTTTAACTCGACTAATACGATTTTCAGCAGATCTGAAAGATGCATTTCAGTTTCTATATTGGTTATATTTTTGTGTTTTATTTCTGGTTGCACACGCTAAAATACGTATGACTGTTTATATTTACACCTATATAATTAAAGTAATCATCTGCTCAAAAAATGTCCTATTTAAAAATGTGTTCTTACTGTTTTGACCCAATGTTTTTAAACAAAAAACGCTCAGATTTGATCAAATAGAGAGTGTGACTAAATTGGGTCCGTTTCGTGGTTTATACAGAAATATAAATGTTATCACATTGGAACATCAACTCTGTTTCCACCAGCTTAATCGCGAGTCCCATGGGATAAAAAGCAAAACAACACGACAAACTAACTTTCCAGAATCACAGCAAAAGCAGTGACATTTATTCTTCTCACATCAACGCAAAACGTTTTCATTTTTTCAAGGCAAATCCGAATTATATTTACAGATGTGTATCAATCTTTCTCTGTAACACATTCACAATGTACAAGGAAAAATACAACAAACAAATAAGGAATAGATCGAATACAGTAACTCACGTGTTGACAAATCAAAGTGGGATCGAGAAAAATCTTAGAAAACTTTAAAAACGTTGTAATTTGACTATATTTTACACTGTAGCACGCACTCTTTTTCATGTCTTAAACACAGAACCATCTCACTCGCTGTTTCTCACACACACACACACACACACACACACACAATCACACACATACAAAAGAAGAATTAATCCCTCGCAAATGTCTAAAGCTCACGCATATTGTGTAATTTCGGACAAATTATTCAGACAACATCCCAAGGACACCCTTCAGTTTAAGTATCATATTTAAATAATATCACCTTCAAATTTACAAGAACAGACATTCTGTACAAAAAAGGTAGTTATGCTCTAAAAGAGGTAAATATTTGGTTATTTGAGTCTGAATGCGTAGTTGCCAATCTTTTCATATGTGTGTCAGAGGAACAGTTCCGTTTACGCTCGTCGTGGAACTTTGATAGTGCTGCGGTACAGCGTGAAGTCTGCTCTGAACGGACGGGTCCCCTGCCTCCGCCGTCGGTAAATACATGCTTATCATCTCTCGCAAGTCTCCGGGACAAGGGGCTCGAGAGTGAGCTGTAATGGGAGGACTTACGCTCGGCTCCGATTTCACCAGCGTGCCGATGGCCCCAGATGAAGCTACGCTGGAGTTTTGGTGTTGCGTGTAGGATATTCCACCATAACCTGACGGCGAGGCGCTCATGTAGCTCTGAGAGTTTGAGATGGGGCTGTACTGGAGAGCCGTCATTTCGTAGCGGTGCATAGGCTGGGGATTATGCGGATGGTGATGGTGTCCGTGGTGGTGATGCGCTCCGCTGCCCGGGTGCTGACTGTAGGCGAGCTGCGCCTCCTGCATCATTGCGGCTGCAGCCGCGGCGGCCGCTACCTGCCCCGAGTACGCCCCGTTGGTCCAGCCGTTCATGTGCGCGTAGCTCGCCGCGGTGTTGCCGCCGTGACCCACCGGACTGTCTAACCTCTGCCCGACCCCCACTGCACCCATTGCCAGCCCCAAGCCGCCTCCGCCACCTGGTCCAGCGAGCAGGCCACCCGCCAAAGAGTACTTGTCCTTCTTGAGCAGCGTCTTGTTCTTCCTCCGGGGTCGGTACTTGTAATCCGGATGCTCCTTCATGTGCATGGCGCGCAGTCTTTTCGCCTCGTCAATGAAGGGTCGCTTTTCCGGCTCGGACATGACTTTCCACTCTGCTCCGAGGCGCTTACTGATCTCCGAGTTGTGCATCTTTGGATTCTCCTGAGCCATTTTTCTGCGCTGACCCCGAGACCACACCATAAACGCATTCATGGGTCTCTTGACACGGTCTTGGTTAACTTTGCTGCCGCCGTTGGGTCCCGTGTGGCCCGTGTTTGTGTTAGTCTGGGGTCCCGGGGAGTGCAAGTCCGTTTCCATCATCATGCTATACATTCACCTGGCTTTAACTTACTCAGCTCACACACAGAAACATTCACACGTCCCCGCTCCTGACAGGCACACACGTGTAGACCCTCTTAATAACAACAGAGGCCACTCGGAACAGGAGAGATCGGTACAATCCAGACAGAGGATAGAAGGCAAGTTAACTTTGCGGCTGCTTTGTTTTATTCTAACTTCCTCTCGGGGTGATTTTCACATCCAGTGCAGACTTGTCTTTGAGCTACTTTCAGCGGTGGGCTTGAAAAGTTAGTGGGAGAGCGGCCATATGATGCGCGTTGACAGGGAATAAATGAGTGAGGGAGAGCCAATGGCGTTTGAGGACGGGGCAGATTTGCATATGGCTCACGATCAGGTGACGAGCACGGGAGAGAGCGCGCGCGCTACAGGCGCAGCTGAAGGGGTCTTCTGCGGCGCGCGGAAGGTAAACAGTTGGCTACAAACCACTGCTGACAAATCTTATTTGGGGTAAATGATCATTTTCGCTGGAATAAACAATAAATCAGTGATTTGAAACGATGGAGCCTGAACTTCAAACATGTGAGCAGTGATTTTTATTATCAAGTAGCCCGTTTGGGTTTCTATCAGAAAAAAAAAATCTCGATCAGTAAACCACAATAATTACATTGATAAACTGTTGCGGTCTTTTTAACCATTAATCTTTTTTTATTCATTAAAAAGTCCCAAAAAAGAAAGAAATGTCTCAGCGAGCAGACGTGTAAAAGTCTTATGTATATATATATACATTTGTTCTCATTCACATTTTCTCAGTATCTTTTCCAGTATTTATCACAATCCTTTCAAGTCCCTTTGAATAAATTGATGCTACAGGTGTTTTCCTGTTGTGACGGTTGCTTAGAAACAGGTGCCTCACACCCAGTGCATGTGCCATGTGTGCCCTTTTGTCATCAAGTGCAAAGTAAGGAACAGCTCAAAATAGTTGGTGTGCAAAAAAAAAAACATTACTAGTGCATTTTTCATTGGTATCGGAAACGTTAGCTTAGTGCAATATCACAACAATTGTGAAGTCGGAATTAATCTCAACGAATTAAATAATAACTCTACAATTCACCAATTAAAACACGTAAAATAATCCTCTATTCGACATCACGGGAAAACAAGGTGACAAGATCGTCCACATTTACAAAGTCCATTTTATATAAGCGTAATACGCACTAAAACGTTCACTGCGCTTGTTTTGACTTAACTGTCATTAATTTTGTCAACAAAATGTGCAGATAAAAAGGCAAAATATAGTCACAGCTTTCTCTACATTGATTTATAGACTGTGATCGCCGTCTACTGGACGCACACATACGAAACCCCCAACAAGTTCCCTTTACTTTGTACTAATTTTACAGTTTAATCACACATTTACATGTGCGAGTTTCCCTAGATAATCTATACAATAGTTATGGAACATCTAAGGATCACAGAAAAAACTTGGAATATGTTGTGAGGTTCTTCAGAAACCCTGTTCAAACGTGAAAAGGTGCATGATATTGAACGGAGGCGTTGAGGGAGTTGCAGGCGCATCGCTCAGATTTCACAGAAGAGTTGCTCAGAATATCTCCATTAATTGTGAACTGAAGCGCACCATAAATATCGCGGAGTTAATATGTTAATCATGATACCCATCAGGAGTACAATTACGAGAATTTGTAGGATTACACAACTGGTTAGATACAGATCATTTAAATCAAAAAATGAAGGACTAACTGTAAGTGTCCAGTCGAGATAAAATCGTAAATTAGAGAGACTTTTCCCCCCAAAACGAAGTGTGTGCTGGTTGTGTCTTTTCCATCCAGCAGTCCAGATGAAAAATATACATATATTAATCCAATATAGAACAATTAAATGTAGGCTTGTATATTATTAATAAAAAAGAAAATGTGCTAATGGGAATGTTTTATTTGTATTGCTGTATTAATGTGAATGTATTATTTTATTTAGGATCAGGTTTGAGAACCACTGATATAGAAAGAACACAATAAAGTGCCAAGAAACAGAAAACCTATGAAAAAAGAAACTATATTTGAAATCACACTATAGGTTTAGTGAACTGCAAGTTGTCTCTGCCCTGATCTGAGCTTCACAGCACTAAAATGCTCGCGTGTTGGTCTGTGCTCCAAAAGCACAGTAAGTGGCAGTCCTCCGTTTTGTCCCGACTGCAAAGTGAATTAGAGAGTCTCTTGAACTTGTGAGAGCGAGCAGGGTTTAAAAATGGTCAACATCTGTCAGGTGCGCCTGTTCTTGCTCTCCACCGCATTTTAAGCATAATTGGACAGGAAGGGAGGGGAAACTCGATCAAGGGCTGCGTATGGGAGAAAGGGCTGTCTCATGCACACATTTTCAGCTTTATTATACATTATCAGACTTATTTCCGTATGATTTACACATTGACACTGACACTCTGAATGGAAGAGGAGGGTAAAGGAATTGGGGGATGATAGGGTTATGCTCAGGAAAAGAAGCAAATTTGCACATCTATGACCTTCACCGAATCAACAATTACATAGTGTGTGACACATTTTTACACAATATCTCAATATAATCTCAGTTTACACAGGTTGTCCAGAACATTTCCTAAATACAAGAGGCACTATCCTAGTACAAAACTACTGGGGTCCATAGTAAAGCATAGAGGAAATGTGTATTAATCTCTTGTATATCTCAAAACAGTATAGTAACAAAAGCCAAATACACTGAGGTAGATATTATATAACAAAAAACAAGTCAAATGGTAGGGTTACTCCATCTTTATCAGATTCTTTCCCATAGCCACCTAATAAGACTGGAGCACATCAGTGCTAATGGGTAATTATGTGTTTTGAGCTCAGATGTACCAAATCAGTGTCTTGAGAGATGGGTTTCATTGTATACATTTTCAATAAACTGTTTCATTTAAACAGAAAATGTCTGACTTTTATTTTGTATGTCAGAGTTATATGAATATTTCACTAAAAATGAAAATTATTTCATCCTTCAAGTTCACACACATTCATGTCATATGACTTATTCAGATCATGATTTTATTCAGTGGAATTTTTAAAAAAAATTATATTTTAAGATTGTTTTAACCATTTTTGTCAGTCAGTGGGGTCCAAAACAACACTGAGCCCACTGACTTGTATAGACTAACTAACTAACTAACTAACTAACTATATAATGTAATAAATTAGATATTTTTCAAAATATCTACTTTTGTGTCCCTCAGAGTAAAGAAATGCACACAAGTTTGGAACAACATGAGGGTGAGTAATCAATGACAGAATATTCATATTTGGGTGAACTGTCCCTTTAAGAATTTAATTAATTTGTTATCATAAGCCATACATACACTAATAAACAAATCAAGGGACAAGATGGAAACATGTTCACACACACACACAGTGTTGCTTACTGACTGGCCTTGAGACCAAATTAGCAGCTCATCAGAAGATCAAAGGTTGTGCACACACACACACACACACATACACAGACTATGATCACTGTATGGTTTTCCGCCTGCGTGCGCACATCTCCCTGCTGTTAGCACAGGAATCTCTAAGCCCACAGTCATCTCCCACCACAGCCAGCTTCACAGGATCAGCTGAAGCTTCTAGAAACAACATGTTAGCGCGCCACGGGGACTAATGGTATCAAAAGCATTCTTTTTACAGCAGATGGCTTGCTTAAGCTACCCGTCACAACTGCTGTCAGCTCTACTGTATGGGCGGAAGGTAAAATCCCAACGCCTCAACTATAGTTAATAATTCTCCACATGGTGTCGGGTACACACCATGGTATAGCTGCATGAAGGCTTTAAGGATATTTCAAAACCATAAAGAAAAAACATAAGATGATGTTCAATGGCCTCTATGAGAATATAATGTGTACACATGGAAAGAATGGGTTCATATTCAGTAGCAACACTCCACTGAATCCTTAGGATATATGGCTATGTTGTTTGAGGGAAAAGTCAGTTGAGTTTTAAGACTGATCTGGTAAAAGGAATCATTCTGTATGTTGAATGTGATAAATGGAGCATTAAAGGAATAGTTCACCCCAAAAAATTTAAATTTGCTGAATCAAAGAGATGTAGAGTTTGTTTCTTCATAGAAACAGATTTGGAGAAAATAAGTATTACATCACTTGCTCACCAGTGGATCCTCTGTGCCGTCAGAATGAGAGTTCAAAAAGGCGATAAAAACATCACAATTATCCAAAAGTAATCCACACGACTCCAGTCCATCCATTAACATCACATGAGGTGAAAAGCTGCATGTTTGTAAGGAACAAATCCGTCGTTATGACATTTTAACTTTAAATGCTGCATCTGGCCAAAATACCAGTCCATAATCTATAATAACACTTCCTCCAGTGAAAAAGTCCATCCAGTTTGCTCTCACATCAAAATCCACCAACATATTTGTTTAGAACTGTTCTGGACTATTTTCACTCGTAAACAGTGCTTGATCTTTGCATATTTCTCTCCTGATTCAGACGAGATGACTTTTTCACTGGAGGAAGCGTTGTCATGGATAGAACATATATATTTTAGCCAGAAGCAACGGTTTTAAGTTAAAAATGTCTTGATGGACTGGTTTCTTACAAACACACAGCTTTTCATTTCACAGGATCTTAATTGTTGGACTGAAGTCATGAGGATTATTTTTGTGGATTATTGTGATATTTTTATCAGATGTTTGGTCTCTCATTCTGACGGCACCCATTGACTGCAGAGGATCCACTGGTGAGCAAGTGATGCAATGCTAAAGTTCTCCAAATCTGTTTTGAAGAAGAAACAAATTCATCTACATGGATAAAAACATCAGTTCAACAAGTTCATGGCTTATGCATTATATTCCAAGTCTTCTGAGGCCTTGTAATGACCACTTTATGGAAACATGCGTTTTGGACTTATTATTTTCACTCGTAAACAGTGCTTGATCTTTGCATATTTCTCTCCTGATTCAGACGAGATGACTTTTTCACTGGAGGAAGCGTTGTCATGGATAGAACATATATATTTTAGCCAGAAGCAACGGTTTTAAGTTAAAAATGTCTTGATGGACTGGTTTCTTACAAACACACAGCTTTTCATTTCACAGGATCTTAATTGTTGGACTGAAGTCATGAGGATTATTTTTGTGGATTATTGTGATATTTTTATCAGATGTTTGGTCTCTCATTCTGACGGCACCCATTGACTGCAGAGGATCCACTGGTGAGCAAGTGATGCAATGCTAAAGTTCTCCAAATCTGTTTTGAAGAAGAAACAAATTCATAAAAACATGCATAAAAACATCAGTTCAACAAGTTCATGGCTTATGTATTATATTCCAAGTCTTCTGAGGCCTTGTAATGACCACTTTATGGAAACATGCGTTTTGGACTTATGCTATAAATTGTGCTATAAATGACTCCTTTGGTGCTCCACCGAGGAATGAAAATCAGATGGGTTTAAAACAAATGAGTGTGAATAAATGATCAGTTTCTGGGT